GGTGACCCTGCTTCGGCAGGAGGGTTGGACTAGATGACCCACAGAGGTCCCTTCCAACCCCTACTATTCTGTGATTCTGTGATTCTGTGAAGAGACAACATAAATTAGTTTTTTCTCATGTGGAAGAGACAAAGCAAGAAGTTTGCATGTGGAGGAAAATATATACGTGTGTGTGCCGTAAGGAATTACTAGTGAGTCATTGGTTCACTTACAGGTGATACCTCTGGGAGCTGTGCTATTTTTAGATTCATACCTTTCAGTTTGTGTGTTTAAGTTCAGGCAAATACTATGAAAGGTTTTAATTCATACTGCACTCTTTAAATTGTGTTTAGTGTCTTAAAATTGTATTACCTAAACTTTAAATTAGCAGTTGTCAACAAATCCTGTTGATTGTGACAAGATTATCTTCCATTCCAGTCTGTTTTGAAGCAAAGGTTAAATTCATTTAAAGTTGCATGAAATTCTTAGATATGTGAAGGCTGGATCAACAGTAGTCTTAGAAGTAGCACCAAAAAGATAAGTTTAGATATTTTTATGTAGAAAGTACATGTATATGTGTGTATATGTGTAAAAAGCATAGGTGGGTTCCTTTATTCATTGCTGTATTTTGCTGTGGAATTTAATATATTCCCCTAATAAATTGTGCTTGTGTGCTATATGCTGTCAAAGAAGATATTTCTAAATGCGGATCTGAAGGGCTGAAAAAGTTGTGCTGGTCTTACTTTAAAGTAAAAACTTCATTTCTTTTAATATTTTTATAATGTTCTCTGGACTTAAAGAAATAAATACTAATTATCACTTTTTTCCCTCCCTCCCAGCTTCATATTCTCCATTGCAACCTCATTCTCTAGTAAAACATCAGCAGATCCCACTTCATTCACCACCTGCAAAGATTTCCCATCATCAGCTGATACTGCAACAGCAGCAGCAAGTCCAGCCGATTGCACTTCAGACTCCTCCGGGTCAGGAACCCCCTCCGTCACAGCACTGTCTGCCTCTCCCAAGCCATGGTCTTCCTCCCGGTCCTAGCAGTGTCCAGTCTCATTGCTCACCTATTCACATCCATCCTCCACCTCTAACACTATCTCCTACTCCATCCCAGTCAGCTCAGCAGTCAGTAGTGGTATCCCCTCCACCTTCCCACTCCCCTAGTCAATCACCCACAATAATTATTCACCCTCAAGCACTTATTCAGTCACAGGCAAACTCTCTTGTGCCAACAGCTCTTCAGCCAGAGCAGAATGCCCCTCAGCAAACTCCTACCAATCCAGTTCGACCAATTGCACAGCCACTTAATCTTCCGTCGCATCTTCCACTGCCATCTTCCCCCGCTGTACATATAGGGTCAGTAGATCAGCCCAGCTTAGTTTCCCCAGGCCAACAGATTGTGTCCTCGACACCACACCAGCAATATTCAGCCTTGCAGTCCACAGCTATCCCTCTTGCAGCTCCTCCTCAGCTGTCAACATCTTCAACGCAGATTCAACAACTGCCGCTGCAGTCTGTGCAGTCTTTACAAGTGCAGCCTGAAATTCTGTCCCAGGGCCAGGTTTTGGTTCAAAACACTTTGGTTTCTGAGGAAGAGCTTCCTGCTGCAGAAGCTTTGGTCCAGCTGCCATTTCAAACTCTTCCACCACCACAGACTGTTGCAGTAAATCTTCAAGTGCAGCCATCGGTACCAATTGAAACTCCAGTGGTAAGTGGTAATGTTGCAGTCCATTATTCTTCATCTTTGGCTTCTCTACAAAGAGCTGTAAACCTGACCCATTGACTTCAGAGGGAGCTGAACCAGGTGCTAGACAGAGGACCAGAAGAAACCTATTGATTACAGAAGTGAGTTTGAAGAAAAACGGACGACAGTTTTGTAATGGACCGTCAGACAATAATATCAAACAGGAATCAAAAAAGTGCAGCTTTTTGATCTAAAACCTTATCTCCTAATGAAATTGCAGCATATCTAAAAAAGCTAGAAAATATGTCAATGCTTATGTCAAAATACTGGTGAATATACCATATGGACTGTAAGCTTTTACCTCTTTAAATTAATGCAAATATAATACAGGCAATCAAAATTTTACGTAGGAGAATGATCTCTATGCTAGGTGTGAAGGTGTATAGCAGATTGTTAAGATAGAGTTCTGGATAATTAATTTTGTACTAACATTGAAAAGATCTGCTTTATAAAAGAATAGGGGATTTTTTTATGTTGTCCTGGTCTTCCTCATCACTGAAATTTAATTTAGTCCAACATTAGACTCAGATGTCTGCAGTTTGTAATTGAAGGTTTCGGCTTCACTCAGACTGCACAAAAATAATGTACAGTGAAATATCAGTGAAATAAAATGATGTGCGAATAATGCTGACATTTACGATGGAATTGCTAGGCTTTAGCGGTAACATACTAATGAGATAGACGGGAGCAAAAGAATCAACAGGTCTTGTAAGCTTTTTTTCATGCTACCAACAGGTTAAGGAAGAAGGCGTGCTGTTTAATTTACATTAAAATAGTAGTGATAATCTCAACCCTGATATTTCATGTAGAAATTGTGCAAAAGAGTATTGCTTTTGACGAAGTGGTGTTTTAATTCCTAATCTGCTTAACTGGCTGACAGTTAACTCACGTAAATTTAATAGTTTTGAGGAAAATACTTTATAATCTCTTATAACCACTAATGCTTGATAGTCTTGTTGTACTCTTCTGAAATACTCGGTTTGATTACACTGATTTATAAGATAGAGAACAAATTGCAGACTTGTATTATGTTATAAAGCTTGCACTTCACAGAAATGTTTGAATAGCTACAAATGTGTGTGTAAATAAAAATACAGTGAACTATAAAGGTAAGACGTTGAAAGAATCAAATTCTCTGGTCTGGTTGATAGAACTGTGCCTCTATATTTTACTATTTGTAACAAAATACTTTCATTTTGCTCTCATAGACATTGTGGTGTCTCCAGAGTTCATTGTTTTGTATGCAGTTTGGAAACTAGTGTTTTATTAGGAGATGAATGTATTTTAACTGGTAATTAATTTTAAAAACTGTATTTATGCAACTCTTTTAAGGTATTAAGCTAGAATGGAAATCTCTCTAAAGCAATAGTTTGTTGAATGCAGATTTACCAAGTGGAGAATGTATGTGAAGAAGAGATGCCCGAGGAATCAGATTGTGTCCATATGGCTAGAACACCTACGCCGCCTTCTTTGTCTCCACCAGCCATAACCTTGGGGAATGGAGAGGCACTTAATTCAGAAGATCCTTTGTCAGGTGAGAACAAATGTCAAGCTAAGGTAGCTGTTCTGATTAGAAACTCCTACCAGTTATTGAAGCTTTAAATTAAAAATCCATGATTTTGGTCTTTTTTGATAATTCAGTGGTATCATTTTTCAAGTAAAAGAAACTGTGAAATATGTTAGAAATCCATGTGATAGAATGAATGATTCGGTCCCAAAGGTGTAGTTTGTATATGTATTTGGATAACATATAGCACAGAAAATGCTTATTTGAGTTCTTTAGCATATACTTCTATACTGAAATCTTAACAGAAGTGTTAATCTTTAAGTGACAGCTGTGTGATATGGGCAAAATATGCTGACTGATCTGGTGTGAAGATTGATTTTGCAGAACCAGGGTCAGCAATCAGGAGTTGCTGTCGGAATGGTTGACTACTCCGTATGATTCTTTTTGGCACCATTTTTTTTATGTGCCACAGTGAGGAGCTGTTCTAATGCAAAAGTTACCAAGAAAATTTTTCTTCTTCAGTGAATTGTAAGGTATACATGCCTGTACCAATTGTTGTCCTGCGAACCAATGTAAATTCTCTGAAGTGCTAAATATAGAAATACATGCTCTCTTTCTCTGTAGTATAGTGTGTGCATATATATGTATATGCTATACATATAACTAGGTGCGGAGCGGTGCTTAATGGCTTCATGTTGAATGGACTTGTGACCCTGCAGGTTACCGAGGCTGAAAGCACCCCTGAAAATAAATTCAATCCTTAGAAATACGTCAGCTGCTCAGTCTTGAGAATCCAACGTTTGAAAGTACTGGTTTCTGCTTTTCACTTATGGATTTATGATCTGTGTAGGTAATTAATGGCCAACTATGCTTATAGTTAGTAGGTACTGAGTAAAGGAAAATGTTCACATGAGAACTGTTTGTTTGTGTAATAGTTTGTCAAGGAAAAACATCTTATTTTGAAGGTAAAGTCTGTCAGCCGCAGAGAAAAGCCTGTGTTTCAGGATGATGGGTGCAGAGCTAGGTGTGTTTATCCCCTCTTATTTCTAGAATTCTGAGCCAATGGTTGTACATAAGTGATAAAAACATAACATACTTTGTTATTTTTTTCAGAACATGGGGGACTACCTTCAGTGACATCATCAGTCAGTGCCTCAGTAATTAAATCGCCGTCTGATCCTTCGCATGCCTCTATTCCACCACCCCCTCTTTTGCTTCCAGCAGCAACAACAAGGAGCAACAGCACATTAATGCCCCATAGCATTCCTAGCCTAGAAAATAAACCTCCGCAGGCCATTGTTAAACCACAGATCCTGACCCATGTTATTGAAGGCTTCGTGATTCAGGAGGGGTTAGAGCCGTTCCCTGTAAGTGTAAAAGTTGCTATGAATTTTTTACTACTAATTTTTGAAACAAACTGTTTTTAAGGATGAAGTTATTTGTGGCTAGAAGCTATTTAGATGTGAATAATTTTTCAGACGTTGGTTCTGATGTTTTTTCCACTGATTGGTAACCTGTTTCTTACAGCATTCAGTATACTTGCATACTGTTTGCATTCTTACGTATATAATCAGAATTTATGCTACTGTTTGGCCTGCCAGTATCACTGAATGACAAGGTACTAAATGAAAACAGAGACAGCTGAGCACATAGGCTATATCTGGAGATAAATACGGAGAGTGGTTTTAGGCTACCATAGAATCACAGAATCACAGAATAGTAGGGGTTGGAAGGGACCTCTGTGGGTCATCTAGTCCAACCCCCC